CAAGCTTCTGCGAACAGCTGAAATAGGTACATTGTGTAAAAAAGGTACAGTAATGGACAATTTGGGAAGAGGAGATACAATTGTTCGAGCCTTGTAGCTCGTTTTTTATAGTTGTTGACGATTCGTGACTATAAAAACGAGGCTCAAGGTTCGAACAAAATCGTGTCTCCTATTCCCAAATTGTCCATTCTCGTGGACAATCTGAGCATCGATTACTCAATCTAAGAGACATTACTGTACTCGGAATTTCCATCTAAAATATAAACCACTTATTTATTCGTCATAATCGATCAAAAAAGGTCAAGGTTATGTCATAACCTTGACATAACCCGAGATGATAGACAAACGATTTGTTGAGTTTTTGATAAAAAAAATTCTATTATTAGTATTATCGTGGTGCAAAATCCAAGAATTGTCTTTCGAATATTTTTACGCGAAAATTTTTTCGCAAACGCTATATGTTCACGCTTTGTCCGTTCGGGATAAATTCCGAACGAACAACACCGCTGCGATCGAAGAATACAGAGCGAGCACGACGATGATTAGCTTGTTTGCGCGTCGCGCTCATAAACGCGAAATTTGACCGTCGTTTCTGAACTTAGAGTCGCTAGAAATCGGCACGAGAGATATCGTTGGAAATGCTGAGATTCGAACAAATTATTTGACGGACTGCTTCTGCCACTATAAAAAACGCGATCGTTTTACGTAACGCGCTTTTTAATGTTCTCTAACGAATACAACGCGGACCGGTTGGACTTTTTTTAATGCGATTAATTGCGCAGAATCGTAACGCGACGTTTAAAAATAATGGTCATCGTTGATCCGTCGGCTGGAAGGCAGCAAACCGTCCTCGGAACAGTAATTTGCAAGTGGAGCCAGGATTGCGAGCTGTCGCCTTTGAGGCGGGTCGCGCCGGTTCGGTTAATGAAGAAGTTTTCTTGCCCGGCGAGCTAGCCGACTTACCGGGAAAATTATTAATCGATCTTCCGGCGGTGCTAAAGTTCCGTTGACAAACATTTCTAAAGCCGGCGTCGCGTCGCGTCGTGTCGTCTCCGCCTCTCTCGAGCATTTAAACACATTAACCCGGAGGAGATCCGTCTTCGCGGATTGCTACTCCGAGGATAATGCGCTTCGACGGAGGGAAATTAAATTCGAAAGCCGTGGGAACAATCTCGATCAACCGGGAAACTCTGTCGCGCGTCTGTCCAGGAAAAATCGTAGCCCTTTGCACCGTCACGTTGCCGTTGCATCTACTTTCGGAACTTTATTGCAGCGCCGTTTCGAAAGTTTCGTCGCTCGACGGCGTTCCGAAACGAGAAAAATGCGAGAAAATCGCGAGACGCGTGATTCGAATCGTTGGATGCGGCGCGAGTCGACAGAGTTTTCTCGAATATAATTTTCGTCGAATACAGGGTGTCCCGAAAATGTCTCGCAATCCGAAAGTAGGGGATTCCTGAGGTGATTCGAAGCAACTTCTTCCTTAGCGAAAATGCAATCCGCGGCTTCGTTAACGAGTTATCAACGAAAAACAGTGACCAATCAGAGGCTAGATCATTTGGCGTAAGACGGCCGAGCCAATGAGCGGAACCGGGCTCCGTGCACTCGTTGGCTGGACCGCCGCGCGCCAGCCGAGCTCGCCTCTTATTGGTCAGTGTTTTTCGTTAATAACTCGTAAACGAAGCCTCGGAGAAAATTTTCGTAGAGGAAAAAGTTGCTTCGAACGACCTCGGGAACCTCCCATTTCCGGATTGCGAGACATTTTTGGGACACCCTGTATAATAATCGGCGAGCGATCGTTTCTGATTTTTCGGCGTTCGAACGTTCCGTCGCGTTTCACGATCGACGAGCCGCGAAAGGAAGAAAGAAAATAATGTAACGAGCCGAGTGACCCTGATATGGAAACTCATATCGCCGGTTCAAGGTATCGCCCTGTATCGATTCCTTTGTAGACAAAAGTCTGGGTGTCGGATCCAAAGAACATCTCGAAACGGGCGGAATCAGGCCACGTATACAGTAGCCTTGAGCGGAATATCGAAGACGTCGAAGATATTCACCGACTTTCCAATCTTCGACTCTTGGCACAGTTTTTCGAGGGGCGGAGTGGCGCGGACCGAGGGGGGGGGGAGGCCGATGAAAAAGACAATAGAAAAATAGGAAGCGAGTTAATCGGCCCGACATCGCGTACACGTTGCCTGCGCGGAGTCTTTAATCCGATTCGACGAGGAAAAATCAGCTCTCGTTCGCCGACAAGAATCGAATTCTTCTATTTTAACCCCTTGTCCCATGGTGTCTCTAAACGCCGCGATTCGGGCATCTGCTGCGATAAAAATAGCGAAATGTTTCGGTAAATTCCGTCGCGTCGTTCTTATAAAACAGCACATTTTAGTCGCTTTTAGAATTCGATAGGTTTAGCGTTAAGGATTGCTTTTGCACACAGTTGGTTCGGTTTGCGTACACTTATTTTTATCGTTACAATCGAGAGTATATTACAAGAACGACGGTAAGACAGTAGATGGTAGATCGTGTTTATACAGCGTTGCCGAAATACAGTAATGTCTCCCTAACTGACGCTCAGATTGTGCACAAAAATGGACAATTTGGGAAGAGGAGCCTTGCGACTCGTTTTTATAGTTACCGATTTTCAACAATTATAAAAACGAGCTGCAAAGCTCGAACAATCGTATCTCCTCTTCCCGAATTGTCAATTTTCATGGACAATCCGAGCGTCAATTAGAGAGACATTACTGTAATTCTGAATACACGATACCATCGATCGATCATGATTTCCGTCTGGGAATCCTAGAAACGATCGATCGGTGTACGATCTCACGGTGTAACACGAAGAACCTCGGCTTGTTTTCGAAAGCCTTGTTAAAGTTGCGTTGCTAAGATTAACCGGGCATATTTTCAAGAAGCTTATCGGAGTCTCGTGCAGCGAGCGCGATAAGGAAGCAGCGCGAGGGGCGGAAGCAAGTGTATAAAACTGTATCGTAAGCGAATAGATTTGTCCGGGGTTTCGGAATGAGTTGAGAAATCGTTGAGAACGTTGAATTTTCTCCCATAAAACGCTCCCCTGGGGGTAAGAGAGTAGATCACCCTGTATAGAGGGTGGAATCCGTTTCTCGGATTTTACGAGGTCCCGCTCGAGATCTTTCTCTTTTTTTACTTTCACCGTCCTCTGTCCTTCGCTCCCCCCTCTCTCTCTCCTTCTCCCTTACATCGTATTTCTCTCTCTCTCTCTCTCTCTCTCTCTCTCTATTTCGCTCTTTTTCTCTCGTCGCCACTTCCACCCCGTCTTACTTATTCAGACGTTTGACGGAACCGAGAATATAAACGACCTCAAATCAGCCACCCTTTCGGTACGTCAGCTTCAACAGGGGGTAAGGGATGATAGATCGACTTTTTCGACGGCGAGGGTGTAAATATGCGGTCTCTGAAAGATAGGCTGATGAGACGGTTCCCGTTCGAAAGCCCGGAAACCGCACACCTTCTCGCTCCTCGATGGAAAAGCTTCGGCTGTCGTCGACCCCGTATCCGCGCGACGAGTCTCGACGCGAGGAAGCTCCTTCGCTAATCGTAACGTTCTCAGGCATGTTAACACTATGTCGTCCGGTGGCACCACGCTGATGCCATGCAAAAACTATCCGTTGTATGCCGGTGATACCGCTTTGGTGCCATTTTAAAAAACTGAAATAATATTTGAACTATATTTCTTGGGTGTTAAAAGGCAGCGAACTAACTATAGCATTGTGCTTATTTAACTAAGAATTAAGTACGAAAATTCTTGGACGACATATCTTAATTCTACGAATTTATATTACCGCCATCTTTGACATTTTTTTTTAAATCTAACTGAAATAACATTTGAACTATATTTCTTGGATGTTAAAAAGCAGCAAACTAACTATAGCATTGTGCTTATTTAACTAAGAATTAAGTACAAAAATTCTTGGATGACATATCTTAATTTTAGGAATTTATATTACCGCCGTCTTCGAAATTTTTTTTTAAAGCTAAAATTTCCAAGCTATTATGCCAACATCAAACAAAAGAATCGTATCTAAGATCTGCGGACGACATAGTGTTAATAACATTAACCTCTCAACGCCGGTTCTACCATGTAGGAATAAATAATACCTTGCGACTTTTTATCAATGTAATTGTATGGTAATAAATTTATGTTAATGTTATGAAATTATTGTCAGAATGTTAATGTTATCAAGGTTAAACGACGTTATATTTTTGCGTCGATGGGAAATGAAATTATCGATCCATATCCTGGATGCCGTCGTCGAGGGGTTAAAATAAAACACGCGGAACCGGCCATTTTGACGGGCTCGTTACATTTGGCGTCGAGTAATACAATAATGTCTCTCTAATTAACGCTCAGATCGTCCACAAAGATGGACAACTTGGGAAGAGGAGATACGATTGTTCGAGCCGTGTGGCTCTTTTTCATAGTTGCTGAAAATAACTATAAAAACGAGCCGCTATTTTTGTGTACAAGCTGAGCGTCAATTAGGGAGAATTTACTGTACTTGGAATCTTCGAACCCCTTCGTTGCTATAACTTGGTGTTCGTATAATAATCGTCCTGGCTAAAATTATTCGCGATCAAATTATAGCTGCAGGAAAGATAAGAATTATCTAGCCAAGAATTAGAATATTTCAGACAAATGTCAATTTTTAAACTTGTTTCACTCAATCGTCGAAAGAAAATTGCTGTATAGTAATGTCTCTCTAATTGACGCTCAGATCGTCCACAAAGATGGACAACTTGGGAAGAGGAGCCTTGCGAATTCGAGCCTTGCGAATTCGAGCCTTGCGAATTCGAGCCTTGCGACTCGTTTTTATAGTTACCGATTTTCAGTTTTATAGTTACCGATTTTCGGGAAATCATGAAACGGCGGTACCGAACGGGCTTTCGGAAGCTGGCAAAAAATCGTGGTAGCAGTTAGGTTGGAAGCCGTTCGAGGGGATCAAGAGTGTTCTTAATTTCAGATGAGCGTAAGCAGCGTGCCTATCCCGCAGAACATAACGATACCGAAGGTCAGAATGCTGGCGGAGTTCACGAGGTTGGCTCACGGACTTCGTAGCGGGAATATCTCCATCCTAGATAGCAGAACTTTCTACATACCGAATTTGCATTACGACGGGGCAGGCCCGGACGCTTACTTCATGGTCGGGAACGGCACGCAGCCCCACGCGTTCGGCGTCAAAGTGCCCAACCAGGTTCAAAGGTACCGTTTTAATCCTTCCGCGAGTCTCCGCGCGTTCCAAATTCGGTAACGAACCTCGCCGCTTATCTCTCGCGCGAATCGAATCGGCGTCGCCGAACCGTGAATCCGCGCGCGTTTCCGCGCCGAGACAGACCGCCTCGTCTTTATTTTTTCCTACGAGAAATTGTAGGATAAATACGATAAATGAGCCGTTTACTTTGCAAGTGGCATAAGTCACTTTTTCAAAAAAATCGAGTTAATGGTTTTTTCATTAATTACAATTGAACGGTATCTTTTCATTTTTAAAAAATTTGCAATCAATAGGTTGAGAACTATCGAGATTTGTTCGAGAGAAGTTTTGCTAATTAACGGTATAACAAACGTGTTTATTTTGAAAGTGGCGTAAGTCGCTGTACTCAGGAAATTAATTGCGGGGCTTAGTGTAAAAGAAATAGAAACGTGTGATAAGTCTGTGTAAAGTATCGTTTTGAATTATTTTCAGTATTTTTAAAAAAGTTATGATCACTGGACTTATTTTTATAAGCGCGAATGAACAGTGCAGTTTTGTAAATTATATTATAGATATATGATATTCCCTATAAAATGTTTTATAAACTAACTTTAGATGAAAAAGATGAATTTCTAACTTTGGATTTGTCACCAAAAAGAGGAAGACCTAGGCGTTATTCACAAATAGAAATGGATCCGTTATACGCTGGATCTCGTCCTGTTTCTTCAGCAAAATACAAAGACACGATGGACTTGCTTAATTATATACCCCCGATATACCACAGTCATTTTAAAAATTTCAAACAAAACACGATTTCCGAGGACTTAATCACTCCCATCGATGACGAAAATTAAATTGAACCGATGTATTTTCATATAAATTACTTATACTTATGTTTCAAAATGTACTAATTATTTTTGTATTTTATGAATATTAAAATAAAAAATACTTAAATCAAACCTTTATATTAAATATGTTCATGGTACAAATTATTATTATATATGTAATTTATTCAACAATTTTAGTAAATCACTGTCCTTTCAAAGCATCGCTTCGGTAAAATACGTCGGACAAAATTAATATATGTCAGTCATTTTTCTAAACTATTTATTTTGAAAGTGGCTTAAGTCACTTTACTGTAATGAAAAGTGGTAATTT